GGCGAGCCTGGCCAATGTCCAGGGGTGATGGGATCTGTAGTTCAACATCTGGAAGTCCAAAGGTTCTGCACACCTAACCTATTGGTTTCATACTTCTTTCCCTTCCATTATTGCTGAAGAACAATTGCTTGCAACTCTGTGCATGACAGTTTTTCAGTCTTCCCATTCCAATTGCATGGTGTGATCTTCCAAAACAGCACATGACAATTTCCAGCAGATAATAAAATTTGAAAATTCCAGTTTGAGGAGCCAAGTTCCATGCTTAATGCATTTCTACACAATATTTTTGACAATGAGCATTTCAAGAAGATGAAATATTTTGAATGGCAACAAACAGAATGGCTGCATGTAGAAGAAAACGGCTTTTTTGACATACAATGGAATCACAAAGGCTGATATGAAGGTCAATGCTTTTTCCAATTCAAATGATTTTCCATTACTTACTTTGTGGATTTCCACCCAGTTTACTTAATGCATCACTTTGGAGGGACCTTGTACATTAACGCTGCTGGCAGCATAATGGCAGTGTTCTAAGATTTACATTAGGATAAGGTAGAACTTATGCATTTGAAACCACTGCTATTAAGAGTCCTATTACAGGGTTGTGTGCATAACCAGACACATAAGAAATGCACAACTACAGATGTTGTATTTTGTGCAGTAAAAAACAAACAAACATGTGAAGTTGCTTATCGGGTATTAATTTTTTTATTTCTTGGTCCTGGAACTCCTATATTAATTCTCATTATTTCATGCTAAAATACAGACGTCTCCTGTGGAATCCAGATTCCTAGGGTTTGATATGTTGATTAAAAACATTCCATTTGACATTAATGCATACCCTTTAAAATGAGTTAAGGGACTGAATATCAGATAGGCATTTGTGGCAATTTCCAGATAGAAGGGAAAAATACATTATCCAGTAGGTAAAAATTAGGAACCAAAGGGTGGTATTCACCTAAGCTTTACTCAGAATAAACCCACTGAAATAATCAACATGACTAAGTCGGCCCATAAATTTCACTAAGTCTGCTGTGAGTAATACTTGGTTGACTACCATCCAAATAATGTCAAAACAGAGTTCCAATCAGCTGAGGAATCAGTCTCTTTGCTACTGTGTAAACAATACTTCCCTCATTTTGACTAATTCAGTTTGAATAAAAGCATCTGGAAAATTCAGTCCTGCAGCTGCCTACCTGATGATGCCACCATAATTATCCATCACTACTTCTTGGAGTGATGGAACTCTGATTCGACTCTTCAAAGGCCCTTTAAGCAGCCAAAATATTCTCTCTATGGCATATATTTCCCAGCCTGGAGTGTGTGCCTTCTCCAAGGCTGTCTCTGCTCTGATTAGAGCTGACCCAAAATTTGTCACAAGTCATTTCCTAAAGAACATTTTGGATATTTACTTTTTCTTACTTCTCCCAACCCCAAGAAGGGCACCAATATTCTGACTGGCATTTTCTCCTCCACAATGCCCCAGAATAATGCTAGGCACATGGCATTGTGGGGAATACAAAATGGTGGCCAGGCTGCCAATAGAGCTGCTACTACCACTTGCGGCAGCATTGAAAGAACAGTAACAAAATAAAATCTTAGGAAGAGCAAAAGAAACTGTGCTATTGTCACTGTTAATGGTGAATGCCACCCCTGAGGAACTATTGGAGAATTTCTCCTTCCCCCTGAAGAAACAGGGTGAAATGGGACCCACAATTTCTCTGCCTGCAAACGTCAAGAGGCCATTTCCATACGGGTCTACCTCAATAACTTCCTTTCTCTATATTAACCTACCGGAGATCATCTTCTGAGGTCCTTCTTTGTGAGCCTCTTCCTGGAGACCTGGAGAGTGGCAACACAAGAATGGGCCTTCTCTGCAGTGGCTTCTCATTTGTGCAATGCTCTGCCCAGGGAGGTTTCATTATACAGTGGTACCTCAGGTTACATACACTTCAGGTTACAGACTCCGCTAACCCAGAAATAATACCTCGGGTTAAGAACTTTGCTTCAGGATGAGAACAGAAATCGTGCTTCGGCGGCGCGGTGGCAGCAGGAGGCCCCATTAGCTAAAGTGGTGCTTCAGGTTAAGTACAGTTTCAGGTTAAGAACGGACCTCTGAGACGAATTAAGTACTTAACCCAAGGTACCACTATATACTTTTAGGAACCAGGCAAAAAAGTTCCTCTTTAACCAGGCCTTTGGCTGATTGACATCCAATGCGCTTTTAAAATGTGTTGGGGAAGGGGGGATTACTGGTTTTTTCCTTGTTTTTATTTTTATTATGTATTTTGTGTTAGTATATTGTGTTTTTATGTTTTGAACCGCCATGAGACCTGCAGATAGAGGGTGGTATACAAAATTAATAATGAGGATGATGATAATAATAATACTAACCTTCAAGTCTCTCTCCTTCCGCATTCCATGTCTGTTCCCCACTCTCACTCTTAGCTGATTTGTCTTTAGGCTGGAAAGAGGACAAAGGAGGACAAATTTTAAAATGATTACTATAGATATGTAGAAATAATTACCATAATTTAAATCAGGGGCAGGGAACTTTTTTTTTAGCATGAGGACCATATCCCCTTCCAGGGGCCACATACCAGCAGTGGGAAAAGCCACTGGCAAAACTTAGTGCAGCAATGGATGTGCATCTTTGTACAAAAAGCTTAATTCCAGCCAGGCAAAAATCTCCCTCCCCTCCTCACCCAGGCAAATGAGATACACTAGAACAATTCAAACTTACATCCCTCCAGAAGCACACAAGGAAGGCACATAGCAAAACCAAACCCAATCTGACATCTCCCGATTAACTTATTTCAGGATTCCCTTAAATCTAACAATAACTCTGATCTAATCTGGGTGAAAAACAGACAACATAAAAAGATGCATGTTACAAACTCAGATTCTCCAATTCCACAAGGACATAGACGTACTTCATAAGAGGCAACCGGAAATCTTCGATGCAGAAAGAAAAATATTGAACTTATCTAAAGTTTGAGATGTTATCCAGGTTTACTATTTAGAGACTGTACTTTGCTACATCAGATATGAGGACCATAAAATACCTAATGCTGCTAAGCACCTAAACCCAATCAGGAAAGGCTGCATAGTTGAAAAGGTCAATCACCACACACCAGAATAGCTTATCTGCTAACAGGTGGGTGGGTGGGTGTTTCTTTCTGTGTGTGTTTCTGTATATATAGCAACTAAAGAACACATCTCAAGTCCCTTTGATTCTAGAGGGAATTTTTTTAACGCATGCTTAATTATTTCATAGATCTACGGTAAATGAATTCTAATGCAGAAATCTTATACTCACCTGGTTGGAAGTCCCATTGAACACAATGGAGCATGCTTCAGAATGTTTAACAGGGCAATTCTATGCTGGGTCCAATGGGACATACTCCGAGCCAGGTTTGTGTGTATACCATTGCAGCCTTATTTAGGCTTATCTGCCTCCTGTATTTACATGTATTTATTTATTTATTTATTTTGTTCTTTATCTCATAAAAAATGAACTCCACTTGAGTGTAGAAAACCTCAAAGTGTTTAACAAAAGATAAAACAGTAAGAACAAGAAAAATTCACAACCCTACTTTAAACATACAAAAGTTAAAATACTAAAAGAGATTCAAATTACCTCGACTTTCTAAGTAATATTCTAAGCACAGATGAAATTCGATGCTGGGTGCTAGCTGAAATGAATCATCTTATTCAGGCCTATGTGATCATGCATTGAAGTGGACCGTTTCTCTGTTATTGCTCTTCTGTACAGAAATTTCACCATTAATGCCTTCTTTTTTTATGTTTAGGTTTTACATGATAAGGCCATGATTCTCATGGAACATCTTATGCTCAGGTATGCCTGTCATGGATGAAGGGTGCGTACACACACAAACACTTATAAATCAAGGTTTTCCCCTTCATAATACAGGCAGCAACTGTTTTAGGCATGTCCAATATGTGTGCGATTGCACACGTGCACATTGTGCTGAACCCGGAAGTGACCTAAAAACATCACAGAAAGAGGCGGAGGGGGGCAGGGCAGGGTCGGAATGGGGTGTTTGCAGTTTTTTTCAATGGTTTTTCAAATATATGTGATTTCACGTGTGGTGCCTTGGAATGTAACCCCCTCCCTCATGTAAATTGGAAGTTGCCTGTGCTCACATGCAGTGGCTGCGAAGAGGTAGGGTGGCTTGTATGCAAACATTTTGATTTGGCAAGTGGCCCTATTATGAATAGCTTGCTGTAGCAGGAAAGCTTCTCCACAAATAAACAGGCTGCCTTGCACATCAGGTGTACAACAGCCAAATCAGTTTATCCATTTCCTTTGGCAAGAATTTGAACATTAAATCTATAGTGGCTAAAACAATGCTTTTCAAACTGTGTTCTGGGGAAACCAGTGCTGTTCCTTATTGTCAGTTTCTCAATGAAAAGAGCTATAATGGTGAGCAACTTTCCCGAAAAGGCAACTTGTCTGACATTAGCCATTTCTCCCCTGGCACTGCATAGCTGTAGAAATGTTTAGGTGCATTCCAGTATGAATGGAATATGGAACATATTCTAAGATTAGGGTCCTCTGCAATGCATTGGGATTACATTGTAGATGTGCAGGGATCCTATGGCAGACGTGCAGATGGGTTGATGTGAACCTGGGCTGAGATTATCTGAAAGCCACATAATACACCTTTGATTTATTGCTCAGTCTTTCCCACTGACAACAACTAATACTGAAATAGTATCACTTGCAAAAAAAAAACCCCAGCAACACCCTTCTGCATGGTACAGTATATTGTTCAATTGTTAAGGCTCAGCAAAAGGAAACGTTCAAAGCACAATGTCATCTTTTATACAGAACCATTTCACATGTTACTGTGAGAACAGGTTGCGGTTTACAACATTGCACCCTGCTGAGGGCAATGAAGCTGGTAACAGTTGGTGGAAAAGGTGTGGCATACCAAACATCCTGGCCAGAAGAGACAGCCCTTTCAGTCTCACATCGCCCTGTCTCTGTCTCTATTTGACCTCTTAGGACCTGGCTGCTAGTGCCAGATCTCTGTGTTTCACCTGACTATTGTTTTGCCGCTTCTTATCTTGTGGAACTGTAGAAGGAAAGTCGCAGAGCATTTGGACAGTCAATGTTTCACTGATTTCAGACGTGCCTGTCACCTCAGCCAGCAGAGCTTGACTGGAAGAACAAAAGGGAACTAGCAGAAAGCTGATCTCAGTCTTCCTTACAGCTGCAGCACTCAGAGAAAGAAAAGAATCTGAACAGGGAGGGCTAGAGAGAAAAGAAGAGAAAGCGTCCCGGAAGAAAGTTCCTAAAATGGAAGAAGCGGGAAATAATGGGACATTGGATCCTGTCTGTTCTGCAAATGAACGTCCATACTCACAAGTAATATTAGAAAGTAAGTTTATTCACTGTTGAGAACAACGTAAGTCTGTGTGAATAAATCCTTTTTGGGGTTTTTTTTACCAGATTAATCAAACTGGTGTGTGTGTGTATGTGTGTGTGTTAATGAGAAGCTTTTTCTTTCACTGTTGTTCTGGACTGACCTACTTTTTAAATGGCATTTGAAATGAGGAGGACACATTAATGTTCATTAGAAAGGCTTAAAGGCAAACTTAATCTAGTGTTGATGAATGCATAATGACTCTGAATGGCAAATACCATTCACCTGTAACTTTAAAAATAAAAAGAGTTTCAACCATAAAAACAGAAAGATGCTCCTTTTCAGCAGGGCTTGTGCAGGAAGAATTCCAAACATATATGATGATTGTTGTTGATAATTATGATAATATTATTTATTTTATAAAATGTATATACCGCTTGATTGTAAAAAAAACACACACGCAAAGCAATTTACAAAATGATAAAACGATAAAATAAAATAAAAATTACAACAATACTTTAAAACATAAAACAAAAGTTAAAATACTAAAACAGATTAAAATCACCTCAACTTTCTAAGCATCTGGGTAAGCTAGTTTAAGAAGAGTTTGGATTTGATATCCCGCCTTTCACTCCCTTTTAAGGAGTCTCAAAGCGGCTAACATTCTCCTTTCCCTTCCTCCCCCACAACAAACACTCTGTGAGGTGAGTGGGGTTGAGAGACTTCAGAGAAGTATGACTGGCCCAAGGTCACCCAGCAGCTGCATGTGGAGGAGCGGAGACGCGAACCCGGTTCCCCAGATTACGGGTTGGAGTAAGCTGTGAGCAAGGCAACTCAAGTCAGATAAAAGGTTAAAAGGTTTGCAATAAGTCTCAAGTCAGATAAAAGGCTCTTAACCATTACACCACACTGGCTCTCTAAACAGGAATATTTTTAGCAGGCACAAAAAAGAGTACAGTGAAGGTGCCTGATTGATTTCAATAGGCAAGGAGTTCCGGAGTGCAGGTGCTGCCGTATAAAACAAATGCAGAATGGGCAATATGTGTGATAACTCTATTTATTAGTCACTGTTCTCATGGGAATGAGCAACTGACACAATACCCACTGATCAGAAATGGGGAACTTTAGGTGTGTGGATCAAAACAGGCACTTCCCACAGTGGCTCTGCCTTTGCATTGTATGAGCAGTTCCACCTGCTAGAAATTAAGTGTCAATTCTTTCCTGCTGTTCTCAAGTATGGGGTCATGTGGACACAGAGAATGGCAAGGGGAAAGGAAAGTTTAAAACTTCTTGAACTATGATATGACAGTAGTACAGGAATGAATGTGTAGTTGTGTATAGACACTAAAGGCACTACTAGCCTCAGTGTGGGACACCTGCACTTAGACTCGCCCACATATTTATTTATTTTTTAATGAGCTGAACTTATTAGGTTCTGCAATGCTGTGAGCAACACTGGGGTGGTGTCTGGAAGGGCTGCATTTTCCCTGGAATCAGTCCCCGTAGTTACAGCACTGGGTCTGTTTATCTGGAATCACAGTCACAGTTTGCTGCCAATTAATCAGTGTCAAAGCATTCTTTTTTTAAAAAAAAAAAGGTCATTCACAAAGCATCGTGTTAAAAAGATGTGGGATTGCCCTTTGGTTCTATAACCCATCTTGATGGGTGTTACTGACTAGGAAGAGATATCACAGATTAGGAGAGAGCCAATGGCTCATATTTTAGTGGTGGCAAAGTTCCAAACTGCAGCGAAATGGGAAAATATAAAGCCCCTAGCAATGAAGGAAGAAGGTATGATTCGATTGATGCAAAAGCTTACCATGGATAAGAATTTGCATCAATGAATTTACAGATATCATACAGCAAATCCCAGATATAATTATGACTGTGTAGAACAATTGTTCCTGATTCTAGATGTAATTGACACAGCTAACTAGCAATAGAAGAGAACTATGATTCTCATTGATAGCAGTTTATTGCTTAAGGTGTGGGGAGGAGAGTGTACATCTGTCTGTCTGTCTGTCTGTCTATCTACTTGTTACTGAATTATTTTGCACATGCACCCAAACAGGTACATAGCCTACTATTCCTGATTATACCAAATTTTATTCCTTTATTTTTTAAAAATTACTCATTAAAAATTATAACCATTACTAAACTGTTTGTGATTTTAAGCACTTAAAAAACAAAAACAAATAGGCGTGGTCCTTCATTAATGTGAACATTTTTGGCCAGAAAAGCTCAAGTAAAAGAAAGGGAGAGTGAATTCAGGCAGCCAGTGTACCATGTGATAAATGTGGAGGAACTGCGCTTGTTTATTAAATGTGGGCCTAAGATGGCCGTGGCTGCTTTTGTAGTGTTCTGTGGTTGCTGTGCGGTCCTACCCCTAGTTATGTACTCATTCTGTAGCTATAGAGCAGGGGTGTCAAACTCAAATTCATCGGGGGCCGCATCAGCAGTTTGGTCACCCTCAAAGGGCCGGTTGTATCTGTAGGACTTACAGTACAGGAGAGAAGGGTTCAGGCAGCCGTTGGATCTGTCACATCACAGGATGGCATGCGCTCAATATAAAAAGAAGTGGAGGTTTCCTGAATGCATGTAAAGTGGAGGTTTCCTGTGTAGAACGGCCAGCGCCGCTAGAGGGCAGACGTTCTCTGGCTTGTAGGCTGTCGCGCATGCGCTGAAGAGGCGGCTTTCTTGTGTCAAAAAAAAAGAGAGAGAGAGAGAGAGAGAATAAAAGGTGAAGGCTGGCGGCCGCCGATGGCTACACGGGCCACATGACGAGGTCTGGCGGGCCGCATTCGGCCCGTGGGCCTTGTGTTTGACACCCGTGCTATAGAGTGAAGACCTAAGTTCTACCTACCCCACAATGAATTGCTGCACTGCTGCAGTGTTTTGCCACTACCAATACTTCCTTGTTTTTCCTTTATGGAACTTGGTTGTTTAGCCTCTTCCCACATTCTTGTATTAATACATACTGATAATGGAGTATGTAATATGGGTTTCCAAATCCTTTTCACCCTGTAACAGCAATGCCTCAACTGTTTTCCCCACTAGAGGTGGGGCTCTGAAACTGGAAATGAGCCCTACCAGGAGAAAAAAAATACGTAATACAGTCGTACCTTGGAAGTCCAATGGAATCCGTTCCAGAAGGCCATTCGACTTCCAAAACGTTTGGAAACCAAAGTGCAGCTTCTCATTGGCTGCAGGAGGCTCCTGCAGCCAATCAGAAACCCCGGAAGCACTGCCAGACACTTGGGTTCCAAAGAACGTTTGCAAACCAGAATGCTCACTTCCAGGTTTGCGGCGCTCAGGAGTCAAAACGTTCAAGTACCAAGGCGTTCGGGATCCAAGATATGATTGTTCAGAAGTTTGGATGCCAAACAAGCCTTTATCCCCAGTTTCAGCTAAGACCAGCTAGAAACATTCATATCTCTCTCTCTCTCTCTCTCTCTCTCTCTCTCTCTCTCTCTCTCTCTCTCACACACACACACACACACACACACACAGCCATGGCCTCTCAATTTCAAAATCCCAAACTATTTTTTTCTGCTCAAGCTTAAGTCCCAGTGATGAAACTGACTGATCCAAGTAATTAACTAGCAATCGGTCTACTAAGGGAATAGTTAACTTGTAGCCATACCAATATGGATTCTAAGGCCCTGGATTGTGAATTAAGGATATGCTTACTTTATATTAAGCATACTGGCTTGCTTTTACTAGGCTGAAGTATTCCATTTCTTTATGTGCTGTAGCTTGTTGTTTACATTTGCCACAACTCTTTATCCTTTCAGGCCTTGATTTGACAGGAATATTGCTCTTTGCTATCCTGACTTTAATGACACTGACTGCTGACCTGGTGTTTGTGGAGGAAGTCTTCTATATCTACCGCAAAATCCCACCCTCCAAAAGATCCATTTTTATTTGGATAAATGCAGCTGCTCCGGTAAGTTGAATAAATAAATTAGTTGGGTTGGGGCAACTGGCTAAAATGTTTTAGAGTTTTAATTTTGGTTCCTGTGTTTTGTTTTTGTCGGGTTGGTGTGAGTTATATGTTTAGGTGGGGTTGGCGGTTATTTTAATTTGAGTATAACAGCAAGCTGGTTGTTGTTGTTGTTGTGTTGTTGTTTTCTATTGATTTCTTGGTTTGTTTGTTGCTTGTATAGGATATTTTCTTTTTAATATTTAGTGTTCTGTTGTGTTTTTATATATGTTGTAAGCCACCCAGAGTGGCTAGGGAAACCTGGTCAGATGGGTGGGATATAAATTATTATTATTATTATTAAATTACACTAAGCATGGGAAACCCTCTTAGTACTAATGTAAGGGCATCCAGAGATGACCCTATTACTGGGTCTCTGGCAATGCCTTCCTCTTAGGGAAAGGCAGTAGCATACATTATTTGCATGCATTAATTCTCAGGTCCAATCCCTGGCATCTTCAGCTAAAACTGGAGTGGGGAACCATCAGACCCAGGGGCCAAATGTGGCCCTCCAAGCCTCTCTATCCAGCTGTTAAGACTCTGCCCAAGCGACTCTGCTCTCAGCTCTCTTTCAGTGATTTCATGTGGCTGGAAAGTGCTCTTGAAGTGTGTTAATATCTCTTGCTTACTTGCCTGGATGGATGGAAAATAGAGAATGGTGTGTCTGGCCACATCCACTTTTACCACACCCAACACTGGCATGCAGCACCCAGAAGCTTGCGCACATGGGAAGGTGGCCCTCAGGCTGACATAGGCTTCCCACCCCTGAGTTAAAACAATGAATAGCCAATGACTCTGGATTACTGCTGCCAATCAGAGTAGACAATACTGGCCTACTTGGACAAATAGTACGATAACTTACAATGCTGCTTCCTATGATGCTACTTGGATATTGAACTTCCCCAGGTAGGGCTTCTCCATCTGATGTTTTCTAAAGGAAAAGTTCTTTAGAAAGAGCTCTAATCTGATGTTCTGATCTGATGCCTCACTCAAGACTAGATAATATTGAATTGTGTCTAAATCTGAACTGAAGGGATATTCATTTAGAAGATAATAGATTCCCCCGCCCCCAAATCTACTTGGTTAATAAATAGGTTTTGCCCTGAATGTTCCTCTCTCTTTCCAGGTGATTGCCACTACGTCATGTATTGGGATGTGGATTCCTCGCTCAACAATGTTTACAGATTTTACTGCAGCAGTGTATGTTTTCTCTATCTTTTTAGATATGCATTTACCCATCTGTTTCCATTTTTAGGCAAAATGTTTCCAGCATTAAGGAAACAAGTAGTTATCTTATATTTGTAGGAACAGCCCTTTTGTTAAAATAGAATCCTTTATCAGTTGTTGTTTTTTTTGCGTGAGGAGAATATACTGTTAACTCAGACTTTGATGATAGTGTAGAAACTAATAATGGCACCGACTAGATAAAAGAATGGAATGTTAAACGTGTGTGCGGGGGGGGGGGTGTATTCTTTAGTTTGTGCACTTTAAAAGTCCACAGACTCCTTTGACTGGCAGCTGGATTGAAACAACAGAGCCCCTTTGATTTCTCAAACGTATTCTTTAGAGCAAGATTCTGACCTGTGAGTGGCATTTCACCAGTCTTTTCTAAATGGCACATTGCAGTTTCTTTTTTTTAACCAAAAAAACAACAACAAACTGCTGAAAAAAAGTACACCAATATAGGAAAATAACCCAAGTTGGAGATCTGTGTGATGAGGCTTGTCAGCTGTAACACATACAGTAAAAGGAAGAGAAAATAGTTTGCATCCTTTGGCTTTTTGTTCTTTTTTTAAAAAAGAAAACAACAACAGCAACCCAAAAGCAGCTGTGGGGGATGCAAATTAGACTGATGCAGTGGCCCTGAGAAAGGGAATATTTAAATCCCCCCCCCCCCGCTATTTCTCCTAAAATAAAGTTGTCTCACTCTTTCAAAAACAAGGTACCGTATTTTTCGCTCTATAAGACACACCAGACCACAAGACGCACCTAGTTTTTGGAGGAGGAAAACAATAAAAAAAATATTCTGAATCTCAGAAGCCAGAACAGCAAGAGGGATCGCTGCGCAGTGAAAGCAGCAATCCCTCTTGCTGTTCTGGCTTCTGGGATAGATGCGTAGCCTGCATTCACTCCATAAGACGCGCACACATTTCCCCTTATTCCACGGGAATATCCTAACAACTTTTTAGGAGGGAAAAAGTGAGTCTTATAGAGCAAAAAATACGGTAGGTTTTTCAGGGAATGGCAACTCAAGGCATCCCAGCAGTTACTGCACTATGGATAGCTCCAAATGAACAACAACAACTTGCACCAGCAAAGGCTGGAGGTGAACTGAAGTCTTATGAGTCCACTTCTTCTAGGCTCCATCCTTTAGGCCTGAAGACTGTGGCTCTTAAAGGGCCAACTCTCTGTGTCTGTTTTGTAACCTCCTGAGTGGTGCCCTGTTGAGCAGCTATGCTACTGTGAGAAGCACTCAATTCCCCAGGCAAGGCCAAACTGGGGGACAGCCCCTGTGAGGGCCCCAGCTCAGGCTCCAATCCACCAGCGTCAGCAGCCTTCTCCAATTCCTCAGCTAGCAGAACAGCAGACCTGGGCTCAGCCAGCTCTTCCTCTGCTGAGCTCAAGCCTGCGGCCATGACAGTCACGTGTGACAAATGCATAGACAGGAGAGCAGCCGTGTAAATCTTAACATGTAGGTGCCTTTCCCTCCTTCCCATAGATTTTTTGCTATCGTCATCCACAAGTTCCTGCTCATGATGATTAAAGAATGTGGGGGTCAAAAACTATTCCTCAGGCACTTTGAGAACGACCGCTTCAAGATAAGCACAGGCCCCTGCTGCTGCTGTTGCCTTTGCCTCCCACATATACGCATCAATAGGTGAGTTTCTCTATAACTCACTCAATAGGTGAGTTTCTTCTACCAGTTCTGAAGGTGACGGGAGGGAAATCTGCAAAACATTTGAGTTGGAAAGGCTTTGGTATAATCAGAGTGTTGTGATTATTAAAGGGAAAGGGTGTGGTTTAAAGTCAGCACATTCACATCAGTTTTCTTACACTGACATACCACCTTCCTTCCATCCTGGAACCCAAGGTAGCATACCCCATTGGGCAGTGTTTTGGTTTCAATCATATACTTAAAGGAAGCTCAAAGCCAAATATACCTGCATATCTGGACCGAGTGCTGCCTTGGAATTCTTCTAGGATGCAGAGATTGGACAGCCATCTTTTGCAGATGCTGTAGCTCTGGATTCTCTGCACTGAGCATGGGTTTGGAGTAGATGGACTGCAAGATCCACTCTGTTGGTCCTAAAACAAGAACAGACGTTTGCAATAAGTTAGTTGAACCAGTGGGGGGCAATAGACAGAAAGGCAACCTATCCTTCCCTCACTGATTACTTCTGTTTCCTCTCCATGTTTTTAGTTAGCATGGGTTAACATGTGACTGTGCTAACTTATTGGCTCCATATGGGCCACACGCAAAACCCTTGCCTAGAATGGAGGATCTAGACTGTAAAAAAAGATGTGGGAAGTAGGTGGAAAGTCAGCTTCAGTCCAAGGGCGGCATTCCCTTCTGGGCAACCTTCTGAGGGCCACATGCCAGCGGTGGGTGGAGCCAGAGTCAAATGTGGGCGTGGCAATTAATGTAAATTGTACCTTTGCACAGCAGGCTAGTTTCTGCACCCACCCACCCCTCTCTATCCTCCACCCAGACCAACAAGAGGCACCATCAGAGTTCAAGAACAAATTTCAGTGAGGCAGAATTACCCAGGGTGTAACGTGGGGCCAGTGAGCAGGGTGGCCAGGGAAGAGTTCCTAGCACTAGGTAGAAAGAACTGGAGGACCAGATTTAGGCCCCAAGGCCTGAGGTTCCTCATCCCTCTTTTAGAACCACTTCCTTACTCTGATTCACTGTCTTTGCGCCACAGTATCACAGTGGTACCTCAGGTTACATACGCTTCAGGTTACAGACTCCGCTAACCCAGAAATATTACCTCGGGTTAAGAACTTTGCTTCACGATGAGAACAAAAATCGTGCAGCGCCGGCACAGCGGCAGCAGGAGGCCCCATTAGCTAAAGTGGTGCTTCAGGTTAAGAACAGTTTCAGGTTAAGAACGGACCTCCAGAACGAATTAAGTACGTAACCAGAGGTACCACTGTATTAAAATATGAATAATCCATGGGAGATCTGATGACAGAAACCATATGTAACGCTAAAATTTGGTGCTCCGCTCTACAGTATTGTTGTGGCACCCCTTGCAGTGCAGCACCCAGTATGGCCAAACTGGTTACACTACCCTAAAACTGTCTCTGAGGTGGCTGGGTATGTTTAGCCTTGAGGAGACTGAGAAGAGATATGACAGCCATCTTCAAATAGCTAAACAGCTGTCAAATGGAGAATGGAGCAAGCTTGTTTTCTCCTGCTCCAGAGGGTAGGATGAGAATGGCTTCAAGTCACAAGAAAGGAGATTCAGACTAAACATTCTGATTGTAAGAACTTTCTGACAGTATGAGCTGTTTGACAATGGAACAGACTCCCACAAGAGATGGTGGACTCTCCTTCCTTGGAGGTTTTTAAGCAGAGGTTGGATGGCCATCTGTCATGCATGATCTAGTTGAGATTCCTGCATTGCAGGGGGTTGGACTGGATGAGATTCGGGGTCCCTTCCAACTCTACAACTCTACAATTCTATTTATTATTTGGTCCTTAGATTGACAGAGGGTAGAGATGTCACTGAAGCTTGCATGTTCTCAAACACTTCCTTCGCTTCTTCAAGAAAGCAAAAAGAGGTGATCTGCCAGCTCATTTGTACACTCGTTTGTACTGTTTATAGTTCTGTAATTATTTGCAGGAGTAAAATTGCCACTATAATTATATCATTATTATGCAATTATGGCTGTATTAATTGAGCAATTATATTAAGCCAAAGTTCATTAATATAGCACAGAGTACATTAAATAGCAGCTTGCCTTCATTAATGAGAGTGTCTGAGGTGGAAAGAGAAGGAGGTTGGATATCTGAATAAAGAGAGGAAGGAAAGAAAGATGTAATGGGGGGGGGGTTGGCGTGGGGTAGGGATATTTACTACTCAGATTGTCCAAGGCAAAAGCCCAATACGTGTCAGTGGATCAAGATTACTACCTCAATCTCCTTTAAGATTATGAATTTGTCCTTCCCCCTTTTTTTATCTGGCAGGCGAACACTATTTTTACTGAAGCTGGGGACTTTCCAGTTTGCATTCCTCCGCCCTGTGCTAATGTTTCTATCAATAGTACTTTGGACCAATGGAAACTACAGTCCCTCTGATGTAAGCAAAGGTTTGAAGAATTTATTGAAACTTAACAGAGGATGATAAGAAATATCTGCACACCTAAAACTGTTTTGAACTAAAAAGTACCAGTCAGAATGTACTGTAGGCATAAATCACCATGGTCTTGCTATGCTATGACACAGAATACAAACATAGAATAAAAAGAACTAAAAAGCTCTAATAACAGTAGAAAACCAACTAAATATAGGTTTTTAAATAATTCAAAATAAATAGCTAGGGCAGAGACCTTTCCATTCCACTGGAAAAGCTAATTGAAACAAACATGTCTTTAGTTGACCTGCTTAGTTACTGGCAGACGCATGGAACAGAGCCAAACTACTGTAGGCAATGTTACATGTGTGATGGCATTTAATAGGGGGAAACCTCCAGGAGGCAAATGTGGCCCTCCTAGCTTCTCTCTCTGGCCCTTGGAACTCTCCTAAGTCGCACCCCCTCTCCCAAGCCACACCCTTCACTGGCCTTGCTTGTGTTTTGGCTGGAATTGAACTCTGATGAAGCCTCTTGCTTGTCTGAGCAGAGCACAGAGAGTGGTGCATGTGTAAAAACTACTTTACAAAGGTAAAATTTGTATTTGTTGCCATAACCACTTTTGCCCCCAGCCCCACCCCCACCCACCACTCATATGTGAGCCCCAGAAGGTTGCTGGAAAAGGTTCCCTACTCCAGAAATAGCAGCAGGGAGGAGGGAATTGGTGTTGGGGGAAGATGTGAGGTTTTTTAACCTTCCCCACCAACTTGAACGTATTGATTTCAGTAGGCCTGCTCTGAGGGTGGTGTGGATGCTTTTGGTGCTGCTGAGTGTGTATATGAGTTATACAAATAAGTTTGTTCTGGAAGCAGAAAAGGACCTGCTGTGGATTATAATCTGTGTATCTGTTCAATGTACCTTTTCAGTTATCTCCCAACGGAGCTGCCATATGGATTAACTGCTTCATAGGTGTCCTTACTATCATTGCCCTGTGGCCAATCGGAATCATGTTCCAACGAGTCCGCGCTCTCCTTAACTGCAAGAAGATTATCCCTAAATTTGCACTTTATCAGGTGAGATAGCTAAGACTACATTGCAGGCCTTCATTTGAAATGCTTCTGGAAGACAGCTCTATAGTCAGGTGCTGCAAACCTAAAAGAGGAATTCAAGATCAAAGACTTTATTACTTAAAGCCTTTGAAGTATGAAAGGTCTTCTTTGTAGCTAACTCCTTTGTGATAGCTTCTTTCAACATTTTTGGGTGACAATGGAGAACTGAGCAATATTTAGAGTTTTCAGTCTTCCTAAAATTTTGGGTGGTAAAAATGCAGCGCACACCGAGTTCCTTTTCCCTGCATGGAAGGAAGTGGTGTACAACAAAGACATATCCTGTGATACAAGACTAAATCCCAGGGCGTACTTCTAAAGACCATGGTAGGTACTGGTAAAAATATGATTGTTTAAATGGTTTCAGAGCACCACAGTTTATTTTGTGCTGTTTCTCCTATATATGTCAACTTCAAACAGAGTAAACTCCATTGAGTTAAATGGGATCTACTCCCATGTCAGAGTGTGTAGGGGTGCTAATTTGTCCCATTGATAGAACCTAAATTCAACTTAGTTGGACCCAACCCACAATTTATTTTTAATTGCCCCAATATGCAAAGGAGAGAGCTGGTGTAAAGGGGTGGACTGGGGAGAAGGAGTTCAGATTCCTACTGTACTATAATACTTTCTAGGTGACCTGGTTTTAAGGCAATCAGTATCTTACTTCCCAAGAATGTTGGAATGATAAAACAAGCAGCGGGAAAGCCATGCATGCTGTCTTGAGCCACTAGGAGGAAGGACTGGGGAAGTGGGGGAATGTTGCTGTTGTTGTTGTTTAGTCGTTTAGTCGTGTCCGACTCTTCGTGGCCCCATGGACCAGAGCACGCCAGGCACTCCTGTCTTCCACTGCCTCCCGTAGTGTGGTCAGACTCATGTTTGTAGCTTCAAGAATACTGTCCAACCATCTCGTCCCCTTCTCCTTGTGCCCTCCATCTTTCCCAACATCAGGGTCTTTTCCAGGGAGTCTTCTCATGAGGTGGCCAAAGTATTGGAGCCTCAGCTTCATGATCTCACTTATCTTCATGCAAGCTCGTGCGTGTGTGTGTGTGCGCGCGCACCCACACCCACACACACCTGTTTCATTGGCTCCTGACACACTGTCTGTAGCGTCCCAAACTGATCCATGCCCCATGGCTCTGACTCTGCTGGCTTTAAGCCTGGGCAGCCCATTGCTGAGTGTGCTCTTATAAGGGACTTTAGTTCTCCTTCTAGCCTACCCTTTTCCACTGCAAGGTGAACGCCATGGCAATCAGCCATGCCTCCTCCTCCAGTTCCCCACCCAATAACAATGTGGACACAGGAGATGGCAGTTTCTGGGCTGCCTCTCTGCCACTCAATACAAATCTTCACAGTTTGAATCAAGTCCATAAATTTTGGTAAGTGCAAGTACATTCTTCCCACTAAGGTGGGAATACGCTGAGGGCATAATGCAGCTTTCTACAACCAGGTAGCCTCCAGATGTTTTGGTCCAAGACATCTGGAAGACACCCTATTGGGGAAGGCTGGAGAAACAACAAAACATTACATATAGGAATGTGCAACGTGCCCCTCTCTTGGGCCATCTATTCTCTAGTTCACCCTTCAGGATTCTTCTCCATGGGCACCAGGTTCTTTCACCAGGAGAAAACATGCACTATGAATATTCATCTTTCAACATCAGCCTAAATGTACGGCACCCTCCCCCTCATGCTACTTCCAAACAGAGAACCTTCTGTGGTGTCATCCCCCTCATGGGGATTTACCTCTTTATTTTAATTTAAGGTGGAAAATGTATATAGTTTTTATTGAATCGCATTCACTCTGCACTAAAATGGGATTTTTTTCTTAGCAGTACAATTTTCTTTTTCTGTGTGTTTATGTAGTTTGCCCTCATTTTGAGTCAGCTCCAGGCAACCATCATCAACATATTGGCTATGGAAGGGGTAATTGCTTGTGTGCCTCCACTTTCTTCTTCAGCAAGAGGAGCATGTAAGTTGCTTGGATTTCAGTTTCTATGACAGGCTAAAGTGGGTTCATTTCTATATTCACTTATAATGTATTCCACCTCTGTAAATTATGTATTCCGCCTCTGCAGGGCCACTGTAAAAGTCCAACTGTCATTGAGATCATGACATCTGATGCTCCACGTAGCATTACCCATTCCAACAGTTGTCCACTACAAGAGTTTAATGAAAGCAAGTTTGAGCCCACCTTATTTTCATTCCTGGTCCTTAAACCTCTTGCTCTTTTGTTCCCTTTCGATTTTCCAGATATGGACCAACAGCTACTCATTATGGAAATGTTTCTCATAACTCTGATCTCACGAGTCGTCTACAGGAAAGGAAACGATGACCTGGAGCTTCCAGTGGTTTCAGACCAGGAAACTAAGGGAAACAAACAGAGCAGCAGGATCAGTGTAGAGGGCAACATTTTTTAAAAGTAAGCACCAGTAATGTAAGGGCTGATCAGATATTAACTGGGACAGCCAAGATTCTGACCAATACATTTTCCATGGCAATGTAATATTGGCACTAGTGGAATAAATCCACATGAGCCGGGCATTCAGGGCTGGGAAGTGGGTGTCCAGAACTAAACTGATGCATTGCGCATTAGCTAAAGGAATCATCCAGTGATGCCATGTTATGCTTTGACATAATGAGGACTATTATAAGGAGAGCTCACAAGTGCCAACTTTAGCTAACTTTCCCATAATCATCTGATATTGTAAAAAAAGAAGTTTGTGATAAGTGTAGCTATTACTCATGATGGTTAAAGCTAATTGAGCCTTAAAATGTAGAAATGTAAAACAAAAATTGGACTGGAGAACAACTTATCTCCAAGTAGCATGGTTTAATTTTTACATAGGTGTCATAGAACAATGTAGCTTAATCTGCCGGAAAATTGTGCATTATATGGAGCCTTGTTCCAAATTCCAAGGTGTTGCATTAGAACAAACAAAAATGTATTTTCTGTTGCCTTTATGATGGGTAGAAGTAATAATAATAATAATAATAATAAATTTTATTTATATCCCGCCCTCCCCAGCCAAATCCCGGCTCAGGGCGACTAACAACAATAAAACAGTACAAAAGTACAGCATAAACAACATTCTAAAATCATTCATTATGAAAATTAATTAATTCAAGCCACTGGCAACCATTGGGCCAGAGCTCCGTGAAGATTGCCGAGGGAGGGAGTCAGGCTGTGCCCTGGCCAAAGGCCTGGTGGAACAGCTCTGTCTTGTAGGCCCTGTGGAAAGATGTCAAGTCCCACAGGGCCCTGGTCTCTTGTGACAGAGTGTTCCACCAGATCGGAGCCACAGCCGAAAAAGCCCTGGCTCTAGTTGAGGCCAGCCTAACTTCTCTGTGGCCTGGGACCTTCAAGATGTTTTTATTTGAAGACCGTAAGTTTCTCTGTGGGGCATACCAGGAGAGGCGGTCCCGTAGGTACGAGGGTCCTAGGCCGTATAGTGCTTTAAAGGTTAAAACCAGCACCTTAAACCTGATCCTGTACTCCACCGGGAGCCAGTGCAGCTGGTATAGCACCGGGTGAATGTGATCTCGTAGCGAAAACCTCGTAAGGAGTCTCGCTGCAGCATTCTGCACCCTCAGGAGTTTCTGGGTCAGTCTCAAGGGCAGCCCCACGTAGAGCGAGTTACAATAATCCAGTCTGGAGGTGACCGTCGCGTGGATCACAGTGGCTAGGTCTGGGCGAGAGAGGTAAGGAGCCAACTGCTTAGCTTGGCGGAGATGGAAAAATGCCGTCTTTGTTATAGCTGCAATCTGCGCCTCCGTGGAAAGGGAGGTGTCGAAGATTACACCCAAACTCTTAACGGACGGTGCTGGCACTAATTGCGCCCCCGCAAGAGATGGGAGTTGCCCCCCCAATCCCATATCGCCCCGTCCCAGCCACAGGACCTCTGTCTTCGAAGGATTTAGCTTCAGACTATCTCAACAACTGTCATCCAAGTTTTACTACACACTGATCCTGATCCTGTAGCTGTGCATTGCTGTGGTGGCGCACAGAATGGCATGTGACTAATATTGGATGAAGAAACAGCACTAGGATGTGGCAGAAAACAGGCAAGAAAAAAGAAGGGACCAGCAAGTCAGCATCCCCTTCCTAGGTGCCACCAATGCTATGAGGAGGAACAGGAGTGTAAGCCAAAGAGCTGAGAACAAGCAGAGTTGCCCTAGGACAAATATCAGTTTGTTGAACTGTGCTTAGTATCTATATCCCTGAGTGTATAACAATACAGTAAAAGAAAAACACATGCATCATAGTTTAAGTTCCTTTGTTCCTGGTTCTGTTTTGCCAGCCAGTAACATGGGAAAACCAAAGGTCTCACAAATCCTAGGGCTTCAAGGAACATGCAAGGAGCAGAGAGTGTGCATGAGCTAGTTCTGGTTCCCCCATTTCAATGTTGCACTCTGCATCATCCAGGGTGACTGACTGTGCTGGGGAAGCCTACTCTATAGAGGGTGGTTTCTGTGCATTTTAACACCCTGGGAAATCAGGGTTATGAAACCTTGGTTTTCCTCCACATATAGAGGTGATTTTCCTGCTGGAGACAGGTGCTGATGATGGAGGGCAGAGCCCGTGTGCTTATGCAGCTGCACCACCCCACACATGTTGCTTTAAGTGCTATTCTGAATGCCTTCTTGTAATTTTACTCCTGGGCTCAAGAGGCAAGATCTGATTTATACATACAATCACTGATGAGGTAGCTACTTGAAAATGCAACCTCTCATGCAAGAGACCTGTGTGAAAAAGGTCACTGCATCGTTCTGGCAAGTCTTCCAGACCTTGTTAAATCATAGTTTCCCATTATATCTGATCCAGGTTTAATCTCATGGGTCGAAACCAAGAACTGTGATTAAACTGTGTCTTAATAAACCCTATAAATGTCTCATTAGATTCATTGGTTTATGAGATCATTCTATTTTATTTATTGGCAAATTTCTATATACCTCCAACATGTCATGGCAGTGAACAGCCTAAAATTAACAATAAAATGTCATTCATAAAACAAGTAGAAAAGACTTTTACATCCTGCTCCTTTAATCCATAACCGTTGGTCATGCTGGTTAGAACAGATGGAAGTTGTATTCTAGCAACATCTGGGTGGGAGGTGCACAAGGTTCCCACTCCTGATGAGGGAGAATGAATAAAGATGAAGTAGAACCATCCCTGTTCTTCATCTAACAAATATGGTTTATTGGACTGTGCCCACACTAGGCCGAAGCTTGCCACTTATTTTCAAGAATCTTACACACAGCACTGGCTGCTCTCTTAAATCAGACTTACAAAGAAATCCTATGCACACTTATTTGGTAACGGGCTCCTTTGGGACTTTCTTCTGCATAAACATGCATAAGATTGGACGGTTAAAGAATCGTGTAGGGGGTTCAGATGTGTGAGAGAAAACAGATCCTACATCTTTAACGGTTGTGTAGAAATCCGAATGCCAGCAGGTTTAGTTTGCCATGCAAGTTACACTTGCTGAAATTCACTTCTTCACACAACTCTTCAAAGTGCAGGAGTCCCTTCCTCTCTTCCTCTCTTCCTCTTGCTAGGTAGACACTATAGTTTTCTGGAGATATTGGTGTTGGGATAGAACTAGTGTTGACTGGTGGGTTGAAACACATTTTTTTCTGTCCCACACAAGCTTTTTCTTTTCTTTTCTTTTTTGTAGCGCTTGAAACGCCTGTAAAGCCTGTGCGACCAGCTACTGTTAGTGGGACTGACTTCTCCCCCCAAAAAAGAATATCTGCCCCCACAGTCAACTGTACTTCTATTACAGGGAAGGGAGAGAAACTTGGGTCAGTTTGCATTTTAATGCAAATCTACCTACACGCAGTTACTTTCCAAAATCCATACTTTCCAAATTATGCAATGCAGTTCTCCAGACAAAAAATGTGTATATTAGGGGAAGGTGTGCATAACAATGTATGTATTAGTGGAAAAAAGCATTGAAAGTGCTTCTAGTTGGGAAAATTGCATCCAAATGTGTATATTAAGGGAAATACACCTTAAAATGCTGGTAATTTTTGGTGATGACTTTTTTATATTTTTAAGACAGAAACTGATACAAAGATGTGGTGAACTGAATTTCAGACTGTGAAAATGAGAAAGAGAGAGAAAGAGAGACTGGCAGAGCCACCCATCCTTATTTTGTTCTATCATCTTCAGGTCTGAAGAATGATCAACTATACACCTCCTTTTAGAATCACAGTCTTGGCTGTTTCATAATAGCACTGGAGGAATAGAAGTATTGAGTACTGACTTTTTCTGCAGCCGGATCCTAAGTATGTATACTCAGAAATAGGTCCCATTAAATTCAGTGGCACTTACTCCCAAGTAAGTGTGCGTAAGATTACAACCTTGATCGCCTCCCCTCGCTTTTTGGCTGAAATCACTTAGATGAATATTTGATCTCTTCCACATAACCCTATCACATTCAGCCAGCAAAGGGAGTGAGCTAATTGTTAAATTCAGTTCAACAAGTTCCTCATTAAGAACAAATTACCCGAGTTTGAAATCTGCTAATTTTCCAATCAGGGTGAGTGTTTGCACTTGTGATTTGGAAATAATTACCACAATGTATAACATCTGAACCTATGTGGAGCCTAATGAGAGAGGGATTCATTTCTTTGGGATTAGAAAAAGAGCTGAAGTGATTTAGGTTGCTGTATAGCTTCTTTCATGAAATACACATGTGAGCCTCTCGTATGCTCAAGAACTTTCAGAGACTGTCCCAGTGATTGCTTCAACTTACCTTGATTCTGTATTTAGCTCTGTTCCCATACTAAAACGACTGATTTCAAGAAGGTGCTAAAATGTTAAAAAGCATTCAAAAAATTCAGGCCTGTTTTAGATGCTCTATCTGGTTTGCGTCATTGCGATTCCAAATATGGAGATGCTCATTTGTATTATACCTATAATGCAAATGAGACTGCATGCACTTCCTTTACAGGAAACAAACATTTGTTATGCTCTTAGTTTCAATCACAGATTTTTATGAGTGCAAACCAGGGCACTGTATATATGAAACCCAAACCACAGCATGGTAATAGGTTGATGGTACCAGTGCTGCTGGCGCTGTGGGTTAAACCACAGAGCCTAGGACTTGCCGATCAGAAGGTCGGTGGTTCGAATCCCTGCGACAGGGTGAGCTCCTGTTGCTCGGTCCCTGCTCCTACCAACCTAGCAGTTCTAAAGCACGTCAAAGTGCAAGTAGATAAATAGGTACCACTCCGGCGGGAAGGTAAACGGCGTTTCCATGCGCTCCTCTGGTTCGCCAGAAGCGGCTTAGTCACTCTGGCCACATGACCTGGAAGCTGTACGCCGGCTCCCTCGGCCAATAAAGCGAGATGAGCGCCACAACCCCAGAGTTGGCCACAACTGGACCTAATGGCCAGGGGTCCCTTTACCTTTACCTTTTACCAGTGCTGCTATTAGGTCATTTTAGACTCTGGACTTTATGGTGTTGTAGTGGGAGGTCACTCTTACATGGCAATGTGTATTATTTCGCCTAGTTGCCTCTGAGGCTCCCTGCAAGGCTCCCCCCAAAGTTGATGGGCACTGCCATTCAAATGGTGTGCAAATGCCGCATCATGTGATTATGTGGGGTGGAGCTTAGCTGCCCCCCCCCCATTTTATTCACATTGACATCCCTGCTTAATAGAATTACTGGTAATTTATAGTCTTCCAAGGAGCTGCATAGAGAAAAAAACCGCAAGGTGCAGGTTTGGCTCCCCACACCCACAGCCACCCAAATTCTCCACCACGGCATAGTGATGTACTGCTGAGCTGGTGTGCGAAAGCTCATGCCTTTGCCCCCAGCTTATCGACTTCCGGGAAACACGTGGCTGTGTCACTGTGGACAAGCAGGCTGCTAGACTGTGTGGACCTTTGGTCTGGTCCAGCTTCAAGACTCTTCTTGGGTTCACAGAGTGTAACATGAATAAATGCAGAGAAACGTTGTGACCATTATACGGCCATTCCAGGTAACAAACTTATTGCTGAGGGGAAAAGCTACCATTGCCTGAAGCTCCTTTCTAAAACAGAAGCTAGGCTTTCCTCTTGCAAAGCTAGTACCCACTGAATGAGGACCAACACCAGCAATCTGTCTCCTGATGTCATACCAAGATCCAAATATCAGCAGTGCAGTTAGATAATTTTTGACTCTGGACTTAATTACCTGGGGTGGGGGGCTCTTTAGATAGTAATGTATATTGTCTCACTTAATTCAAAATATACTGTGTTTGGAGGTCCTCTTGCTCATTCTGCTGTGTGGCCCAGGATGCTGATCCTAAAGTCCTCCTCCTGATGGTACCATGGCCAAGCATTCATCTAGAGATAAAAGAGGGCAGGGGAGCAGTAAAGTAATTTTGGCATAACTAAAAGCTGGCAGTATTATTATTATTTATACCATGGCATATGAAAAAAACAGCCTTTAACAGGGTTGGTAGCATTATTATTATTACCTACCTCATATCAGAATTTTCAGGGAATTTAAAACCTAGCAAATTTGTGTTGTATCTGATGGACCATTTATAGTCAGGCTGACGGAAACAGTGTTGTGGTTTCATGGAAAGAGTTTGTTCTACTCAACACGGCACTGCGATTGCGCAATTGCCACAGAAACGCTGGGACGTATTTCTGCAAACCTACCAGTATGCCCAGTGTGTGAATTTCAGAAAAAGGAACACATTTCCTAAAAGTTCATCTCCTTCTCTAGTCTTGCCCCTTATCATAAGTGGCAGACAATTACTTGGTATATAGGAAAACGTCAGATGTAACATTTTTATTATATTTAAATTAATTATCAATCTAATATTTTAAAATAAGACATGATACACAGGTGGAATTTTGGTGTGGGCTGAGGTGGAAAAGATAATATCTGAAGTTTACTATCTCCTTTTTTGTGATTTGTAATAAATCCTATAAACCAAATGAAGTTAGGTTGGTTTGTTTTTTAACCACATTATAAAATACAGTAGTTTGGATCCAAAGATCTTCTGACAGAAGCAGCTTCCTTCCGTGGAAGTTCTCATTCGTTGGATGGAGGAAGATTCCTTCTCTCAGAGGAAAGGAACCTTTGGCTCCAGACCAATGGGCGATCTTTGTTCTATAGAACGCGGCCGATCACAGCTATGCTTTGTACCAAACAAAGAGATGAGACGCCTGCGAAGCTGAGCCTTGATAATTTTGTCGTGCTGATTGTAAATGGAATATCAATATCATAGGGAACACAATTACCAATCGTACACGTGCAGGCCTGTCAAGCAGCAATAGTGCTGCACGAGCAGCAACTCTGAGCTCGCCTATATAGTCATGGAGATTTCTCTTGCAATTTCCTCCGACCCTCAGTTTTCCTCACTCATTATCTCTGGATTGTTTGTTGCTCCTTGGATTCAGCATTCCAGTTCCATTATCTTTTGTCTATTGCCCTGTTACCATGAGCCTACCTGCTGTTGTCAATGGCACCAGCAGCCACTACCCCTGTACTATGTACAATAGAAATCTTTCATATGTGATTTGGTTGCTCTGGATACAGGCAGTTTGCTGTGTGCTGGGTCCTTTAGAGCAATAAATTAAAGTGCTTCTTTGCAACCTTTTCCCTTTCCTATTTTTTTGAGAAGAGTAAACATTCTCTCCGTGGCTTTATATGGACAATCCAGCTTCAGCAAACCCCCTGCACTGGCTATATAGATACAGATTACAAATATAAGCTTCACAGATGAATGAGCTGCAATACAATTCCGGGGGCAAGGAGGGCTTCTTACTCCTTTTCATCCAGAGGGGAAGATTTGGGTGCAACAGGTGAGGAGAACCAATGGCAATTATCCTCAAGAGACAATTCAGAATTCTGTGATTGATGAGCCCAGCCCATTTTGTGTCAAATGCATATTCATATCGTAGATGTGCATACTGAATATACAGTCCAATCCTATGGATGTCTACTCAGAAATTAGTCCTGCTGTGTCATTGTAACAGCAGTCTGTGCTGCAGTTCTGTCTTCTCAGAGCTGATAAGAACTGCAGTTTGTGACAATGGAGACAGAAGGTTGATTTCAGGTCTTCTTCTTGACCGTGCAGGGCATTCTGAAGTTTAGTCTGGAGATGCAAGAACATAAGAAGAACCCTCTGGGTCAGATAAAAGGCCCATCTAGCTCTTCATCCCATGCTCACAGTGCCCAACCAGATGTCCAATCATTTCTGTGCTGTATCTCTGGCAGAGCCGTTCCAAGAGTTTTTGGTACCTGAGGCAGACCCTAAAATGGTGCCCGCCCCCCGCCACTTGCTAGCAAAGGAGGGCTTAGGGAAGGTCTACACTAGGAACAAGCAGTGAAAGAAAGATTGAAATCAGGATCTGCTGACCCGGTGGACCCTGCTGCCTGAGATGGTCACCTCACCTTGCCTCATGGGTGAGCTGGCCCTGATCTCTGGTCTAAGACCAAGAGCTTTTCTTAACTACAGGAGAAACGTATGTGGTTCCTGCGGCAAAATAAATGGTCACTAGATGGCACACTAAATTCACCGTTACGGATTTCCTCCCTGCTCAGTGTTTCATCTGTTAATAAGGTTTAAAGGCAGAAAGGGGAAGGAAGTGAACAGACTTTATGCTTCGTTTTGCTTTAACTGATCGTTTGATGGTTTCTGATCAATACACAGTTTTATTAATCCTGGATGTGGGAAATCAAACTGCTACCCCTGTTTAAGATTTTTCAACAATTCGTTTTCAGTGCTGTCTGGCTCAGAAGAAAGCCTCATTCTTTACAACAGGGTTCCCTCCCAACTAAGCATGTATAGGGTTGCAACCTTTATTGCTTTTTATATTGTAGGGCAGTTTGTAACTGTGGCTTAAGGACTCTCTGAATCAGGGACAGGTCCAAATCTTCCCACTTGGTACTATAGAATCCGTTTGACTCACTTTTGGACTACAGAATAGGATATAGCATGAAAACCCCACCCCTTTATGGGATGGGATGTAAGTTTTGAGCAAAAATCAAAACAAAATCTAACTCAAGTTTTGTAGAATAAGGAAAAGACACCCACACACTCATAAAAATTCCAGAAGAAAAATATTAGCGAAGTTGTTTTTCCCCATAAAAAGTTTGTTTCAAATATGTCACATTAAATGATTTTCTATCTTATAACAAAATTTTGCAGAGAAGACATAATAATCTTAGACTTCAGAAGTTCACAATACTAACTTATTTCAAATCAAATTAATACATGCCAAATATGAAAATACAGCACATACAACTTATAATCAACATCTTATAAAAATTCATGTAAACCTCAAAAATGTTAATATTAAAACCGTAGCTGCTTGGGACATAATAGTATAGGACATTACACTCTTGGGGAAATTGGCATTTAAATTAAGCATTGGCATTTAAATTAAGAGTACTCAGAGGCCGATGTGAAAAAACACACATTTATTTGGATGCGATTTATTTTGGTACAATTTTGTAATTTATGTTAATATTCAGGGACAATGGAGCTTTCCACCTCCAGCTTTTTAATGGATCTAGTTGATCTGAGTTTCTTAAATTCTTGTTTTCCTTTGGTCAATTCTCCTCCTTGTGTGCCTCTACATCCTGGAACTGTAATATGAAACAGAAAGATTATTTAATTTTGTTAGAGACATTTTAATTATCATACATCTGAAATGATCTCCAAAAGATAAATTCTTACTTTAAATCTGCACCGCAATTGTTTTTCTTTTATTATGT